GGATTATACGAAGCCTTCGTAAACCAAGTGAATGAAGTTTGATGCATCAATATGGAGTGAGGATGGTTTTAGTTTGCATTTTTATTATTACTGAACTTTTTTTTTATGGTTTTGTTGGTTTTTATTATTGTACTTCATACGTTATGAGTTTTATTTTAACTATATTTTCAATTCATTTTATTTTAACTATATTTTCAATTCATTTTTTCTTTATGTTTAAAAACACATATTTATATACATATATACATACATATATAAATATATATTTAAACCATAAAATATATATATATATATATATATATATATATAAATATATATATATATAACTCAATAGAACCTACGAGGTTCTAAAAATAATTTGCTGTAGATGTTGGTTACGAACTAAACCCTACGAGATTCTCAAAATAATTTACAATAGCTACGAGGTTCTAAAAAACTTATGGGCTTGATATCTTTTTTCTTAATTAGGGTTAGCTGTAAGGTATATATATACTCATTTTTTTTAGCAGCTTACACAAACACTATACATAAGGTTGTATTTCTTTTCAAGTCAAGGTGAGTTTTTCTCTTAATTTACTTTTGCTAATCTCCAAATTATGTTTCAGCTTCTTTTGTCACTTTCATGCGTTTAGAGGATGTTTTTATCCAACGTTTGTCAATTTCAGCTTCTTTTGTCAACGTTTTCTGTTTTGTTCTAACGTTTTTATTTTGTTGTGGTGTTATAATTTTGTTGTTGTGTAGAGTTTTAATGATGGATCGTATTGTACAAGAAAGTGAAGTGATACAAGCTAAAAAAAAAAGAAAAAGAATGAACAGTTTCAGATCAGATGTTGATATAATGTTACTGGTTTTATTTATCATGGCGAAGGTCCGTTATTTTCATCCGCAAATACACCGCCAAATTAGAAAGCCAACTACAAGACTTGGTCATGAATACATACAATATGCGTTAGTTAAAGATCATGAACAATTCCGACGGCTATATCGTATGTATCCAGAACCATTCCTAAAGCTATGCAATATATTTAGAGTGAAGATGGGTTTAAGAGACACAAGAAATGTTTCGGTTGAAGAAATGCTTGCAACGTTTTTGTTCATTGTTGGTCAAAATTCGAGGTATATACATGCTGAAGGTAGATTCGAGAGGTCAAGATT